TAGACATTGTGTTAATTCTCAGTGTAGAGTGAATCCCTATAATGACAGGTAAACAACATTTTTCTCATTCTGAGTCACGGCTTTGAGAGGAGGAGGAGAGAAGAAGAAAACTGGAACAGCTCAAAGGTTTTGAAGATTATTGCTCTTACAGTTTGTTCCATTTTAGACAGCACACGCACACACTGTATATAACCAAGCCAACAAAGCACGTGGTAACCTTTTCCTATTTTTCTTGGAATGCTCATCAGAACATGGCAAATGGTGCCTAAATCCATGAGCTGTTCAGCCACATTAGAATTATACTTTGGGCCCAGATGGATGCATTCCTTTCCAGACAGACATCCAGGCAGGGGGATGTTAAACCCATGGTAAATGCATATTTATGTGTGTGGACGTGTGTTTATATCCATGTGCATGTTCTGCTCTATGTTTCAATGTCTGTCTTTGAGTTTGTCTGTGGCTTCCTGCTTGTTTCCTGGAGTGTGTCTACAGTTGTATGCCACCAACACACACTGCAAAGCCACACCAAGCTGGAAGCTCTGGGGTATTGGATGGCCTGCATCAGCATCAGATGATCCTCCAAGTCTACATCTAACACCCTGCCATCAAACTGTAGCTGAAATGTCTCTGCCCCTCTCTCCAGAGTGAACCCGCTAGAGATTCACAGTCTATATTTTAGACTATGTAAACAACACAGCAGGACAGGGATTCAGCCTGCCACGTCCTGTTAAATGTCCCAGCGAGAGTCGCAACAACCGTTTCCCCGTAAGTCATGGTCTGATTTCCTTTTAATACAACTCGGACACTTAGCAGAGTGAAACTGCCAGGAGCAGTAACAGCTTGCAAGCAACAGGCATTGAATAAAGACAGTGTGTGTGTATGTATATGTCAGGGTTAAAGGTGCATCTAATGAAAAAACTTTGGCCAGCTGCCCACTAGATAAATGCCTTCAGTATCCAGTGTGATGGTATCCATTATTCATGCAGACATGTATGTGACTTGGTTTGAATCTTGGACAAGGACAGAGTTATGGATGTCTAAGGAGCTATGCATGTGTGTGTGTGAGTGGAGGGGGTTAGGGGTGTTTTGATCATGACTATACCCATGACCATCACAAGCAATCAACTTAGCTCCCCCACTACACACACATACACACACATATACACAAACAGAAACAAGTAATTCTTTCATCACCACCACAGGACACATTTTTTTCTGAGGGTGTCACCTTGGTAACTACAGCAGCTTGGGGACGGCAGGAGGTTGGTCTGGTGGGGTCTTTTAGTCGCAGGCCATCCCGCAGTGTCTGTCAAAAGCCAATTCCTGTAAGAGGAGGGGTGGATGGGCTGTAACCTCCTAAAGCCCTACTATCACTTCTCTAAGCATATAGAGAAGACAGATGTCACTGGCCTATTTTGTCAGGCATACAACGCATATGAACAAGGTTTATTGCTCAACAAACACAGTACACACAACATATGGTTTTGCAGATAATTTTGCTGTTTTTATAGCTTAATATATTTAAATTAGATGAATAATAGGTAATAGGTAAGGCACGTTTTTGTTATAATAACACATTTTCATACACAACAGCAATTCAAATTGCTTAACAATGCATATAGATGGATAAAACATTAAACAGCATACAGAATGCACACAAAGATAAAATGTTAAAATGCATAGGCATATAGATAAAACATTCAAATCCAAATTAAATAAAACATGACAGCACAAGCAGCAACATGCATGAGTAGATACCTAGTACTTTTAGTATAGATGTGGAAGACCGTGGATTCTCACTGTTCTCATTATATTGTACCCCTTTACTTCAGTCTTCCCAAGACAAACCTATGAGTACTTTAACATCAGAGGTGGGCATACTTTTTACCATGAATTAGAAATACCAGTGTCTGTACAGTCAGTTAAACAGTCCCAAAAACCTTTAGGATAGCTGTGGCAAATCAGTGTCTATACAGTCAGCTAAGCAGCACAGTGAAGCCGTTTGGTCACTGAGTACTGAATGAAAAGGAAAAGTAAAAGCAGATAAAGTGCAATATTGGGTGGAATTAAGAAACATGAAAGTAAAATGTGTTGGCATGTAAAATGTAATAGGTAGCTTTCTTGTAAATTGAGCCCATAGCATCAATGTGAAGGTAAACACCATTTCCCGGATAAATTAGCACTGTAGTGACTCATACTAATCTTCAACACTGACTTCTCCACTTTCCAAGACAAAATAACAAGCTGATTCACTTGTAAGAGATGACACACTTGTCATGATATTTAACATCTGGCATTTGAGCTTTCAGCAGATTTCAGTTTTTCCCCTTACGACGCAGGCTGATGCATACTGATGACACATTCACTTAACCTCCACTGAGCTGATTTAAGACCCCATGTGTTGCATTAGTTACAGTACATGAGAGGGGGGTTATATCAGTGTATACAGTAGAAATGATGAGTCATAGAGTGAAAAGATTAATCAGTTAGAATTCCACAAATATGAATGCAGCAATATTTTGGTGTGAAGGACAAAAAAGAAAGATATAAAATGAGTCAGAGAAAAATGTACAATTAGAAAAAATACCCTGAAAATGAATGTGTGTGTGACAGAGTAAAATGAATCACTGAAAGAGAAAGACTGAATATTCTGAGTGATGAATACCAGGTCACAAATATTCACTTTCAACCACACCACACATTGTCTTGCATAGCAGCCAGCCAGAATGTAAACAAATGACCCAATGTGACAACCAAACACACACACACTCACGATGGCTCCACACCAGAGCCCCTTTACAAGACTGCAACCCACGTATGACAGCCTTGCTGACTGCCAGACAGACAGTCCCTGTTTCTTTATCTCCAAGTCTATAAACCTCTCCACAGTGCTGGCTGGAGAGGGAGGCCCTCTCAGGTCAAAAAGGTCTCAAAC